CATGTTATAAATTTAACACAACTTTGAGTGGTGTATGGACAAAAACTTTGTATCATCAAAATCTTATGCAACTCTTAGCAAAAAGTTCCCCTGAATATGCTAGAAAAATTAAATACCACATTATAATTTTAACATTACAATATTCAAATAGGTTCTTCAGTAGTTTACTTCCTATGGAGAACACCACTGGACAAAATCAATATTTTATTAAAATCAGAATTTCTATTAAACTCAAGACCTATCAGAAATTTATAATCCAAGACAAAGTGGATCCATAGACCATGCATTAAAATGCTATGTAACAATATTGGTGAATATTGGGCATTGATCATGCTGTAATGCAAGTCACATGACTCAAATACTAGATCAATTCATACATGTTTCTATTCATTTGCAATGCATGAAAGTGGCAGATATTGTAAATTGATTATTTGCATGCAAGCCAGTCAAGTTTTATTCAACACTGAACATCTAGATTTGCTAAGACAACCTGTTCAAAAGAGATGACACATGATGATCTGCCTTGTTTAAAGCACCAGAGGTGCACTCCTGATTGATCTTGCTTGATTTAAGTCCTGTGAGAAGTAAGAATGATAGAAAACAGGGTTGAAGACACAAATAATTGGTTTGTTTCAGTTTCAGTAAATGTGATGAACATTGCTTCAAACGGTTCTACTACAATATTCAAACCAAAAATCTGTGAAAAGTAGGGCAAACATAGCAAGTGAATGAAAACTCAATATAAAAAATATATACATTAGGAATATTGCTTGCTGTGGTTTGTGGTATGAGCCATGACTGACTGAAGACGCCTCTGTGAATGAGCAGAGATGACAACTACTGTGAAGAACTAAAGATGAGTGAGTAGATGAGGCCTTCAAATCTCTCCGGAGAAGAGTTAGAGAGATCACCATGAGTGCTCTGAATGGTAACTTCGTTCTAGGAGATCATAAAATTCATATCTCCCACATGTTTAAGTACCAGAAGCTGAAGGAGACAACATCTTTGCTCTCTTCAGTGGTGGAGCCTGTCATAAGGACACCAGGTCAGCAGAACTTTCTAGTTACATTTGGAAATGTTCAATTAAATCATTTTATGAATATTGGAGATCTTCAAAGCAGGGAGCTGAATTTGAAACCTGGTAAGTTTTACCTTCTTTGGATTTAAGCAGAGATTTAAGAATTTAAACTAATATAAAAAAAGCAAAAATAATGGCAAAAAGCAAAAAAAAAGTTTTATTTAATAAAGTTTTAGATGGAGTGGGAGACCAGATAAATTTGGAATATTGGTTATTTTTGCTGTAATATTTGAAAAATAACTATATAATTTATTTAATATACATATGGAAAATGACTGAAATAGAACTAAATGTTAGTTCTAAATATTAGGAATTGAGGCTTGATGAAGCCTGCAAATGGACACTAGAGGGAACTAAAAGACCAAGCAGAAAAAGTGGTTAAAATGGCTAAGCCAATTATGATTTTATCTTATCCATAAGAAAGTTTATGAAATATGGACTGAAATATTAGTAACTAATATTTCAGTAAGAAATACAGACTTAAGTGCATAAACGTTTAGAAGATACAGAGAAAAACTAAACAAAAAACCCCCCTTTTTACCTGACACAGACATTATAGAGTCAGGGCAAGGCAATAAAATTGAGATTACCTAAAAAGAAGTACCAAAGGCATATCAAGAAAATCTGGGCATGAAACAGCTGTAGCAAGAAATCCTGGGCAAAGCCTCTTTATGGGACTTACAAAGTAAGCCAGTAAAACCTTTGAAGACTCCTTTTAAATCCAAAGAGTGATGAAATATCAAACCCTGAAATGCTATAGGAATAATTTTAAAGTCAAGATTTGCAGAGGGACAAAGAAAGAATACAAAGTTGGACTATTTGATCAGGGATAAACTATTTATTTGATATTTCTGGCAAAAGTCCCTAATGGAGTTTTTGTTGAATTAGGACTGAACAGATGATGGTTTCTAGATTGGCTTTAGTTTAGGCTATAGGAAGAAGGTTTTTTTGATAACGTTAAAAGAGGGCAAAAGGTTAGCATATTAGCTTATGCTTGGCACGATGAAGGTTTGAAATACTTCTTCATTATTGTCTTTGTTGCCTTTTCCTACCTTCTTTAGTCTGCACCTTCTGAACTTTTGTTTTTCTTTCTTCTAGTTTAGTTTATGTTCATTTTTATTTATGTCTATTACATTTTTATAATCATATAGTAATAGAGAATTGTTAAATGTACTCATATTTGCTGCAAAGCAAATCGGAAAATTCTATTTTTTTAAAAAAAAAAAATCTGCACTTTTGCTTTTCTTCTTTATTTGCTGTTTCTGTAGCTTGTGTCACTTTCATTTGTTTTGTAACACTTAAATATTAAAAAAGTTTTACTGTGTTTATTAAATACTTCAATACAACTATCAACAACAACAAAAAATACTGGCAGCCATGGAAACCTCCACAGAGCAATCCCACAAAATCTGTTAGTCCAGAACAAGTTGATTCCAAATAGATGAATCTGAGCACTTCTCTACAGGGTGGAAATTTTCCTTTTGAAAAGCTGTTGCAGGATAAGAAAAAAGAAAGTCAAATATGCAACCTTGGGATACTCCAGCAAACTCACACTGATGATGCTGTGGGACTTTAACGGTTTAATAAACAGAACTGAGGAAAATATGAGAAGGGAGTGTGAGGTATGTTAGTTGCCTTGAGTTATTTATCAAAATAATAAAGGCAGGAAATGAATACATAAATAAAATACATTCACTATATTAGATGTGTAGGATAAGTCACAGTAACCTTCTCCTCTCTTCTTTTCCTGTGCATCTCTGAAGTTGGATATTGAACTTTATATTATACAAACATTATATTCACAACCCAAAATTGCAGCCAATTTTAATTACAATAAGAAAAAGCAATAATGTGAATAAAATTTGATCTGAAGCTGAATTGTTCCCATTAATCTAACAAAGTCTAAGTAAAGTTTGTCTATGTTTGTCCAAAACTTCTCAACTCGGAGCAAAATAAAATAAATTTGTTAGTCCACTGTTCTCTTATACCTTATTCTCTGCCCCTTCCTCTCATAATCATATTGGTATTAAGTGCCCTTTGTGACTGAAAGTGGTTCAGAAGAAGAAGATAATGTACGGTACTAGAACATCAAGTGGCACTTGACCTAAATTGAAAACAAATTATGTTTGTTAACAGATACTCCCTTAGTATCTTACTAGATGGTTAGATTAAAAAGAAAGGGGTTGGCAGAAAGAAGGAGAAAAAGAAAATGGCATTTTTGGCTCCAACCTCAACTAGCCTAATCTTCTACAGCATTCAGGGTTTGCCAACAGCTGATAAACAATGAAGATGCTTCTCTACTTGGGAGGACAGGGTACAATTTATATAACACAAACAGAGAAGTGAAGGTGAATAATAATACCCCATGCTCAAAATTCTTGGAGAATGAGGCAGGCCAATGTATAGAGGAAAAGACACCTGGTATTTATTTATTTACTTTTAAAATTTATAAGCTGCCTGCCTTCCCGCACTACGGTGGAATACTACTTCCATAATCTAATCTCTCCAAAAGTGGGGAGATCTAAGTTCAAATCCATCCTTAGCCATGGAAGCTCACAGGGTGACATATGATTAGTCTCTATCCCACAAGATTATTGTGAGGGAGAAAAGAAACCTAGGTAGATCAGCTTGAGTTCCTGAAGAAATATAAATCTAAATAAATAAAATTATTATTACCCGACTGTTATTGTAATTAGTGTTACTTCGGTTAACACTAGCCTCAAAAGGGCCATGCCTCTAGCTGTTTTCAAAAACTTGACTATCAGTAGTTCCTACTTCAAACACAACATCATTTTATATTCATACATTTATTAAGTCAAGTCACAGCCCATTTCAGCATTTTGTTAAATATATATCTCCTAGATATTTGGGCTGAAAAAAAGTATAAAAGTTACTGAGGTTTCTATGAAAATTAATAATGAGAAGTAACCACACTTCAGATAAAGTGGGTTTCCTTATACTATAGAAAGCTTCCCTATGCTATAATCTTTTCCGCACATTTATTTTGCCTATTAAAAATGTACCTGACTTCTTGTTAATGATTTAACTGCAATATATTTTGATTTTAGACATAATAAATCTTTTGAATACACAGGTAGTTTCAGATTGTTTGAATCATCCTGGGAGAATTACTTGCCTTACCAAAATATCACTTCTGAACTAAGGTAAACTTCTAAGCCAAGTGCCACTAGAGGTCTGAGTTTTCATGTGAGTTTTCCTTTTGGGTCCTGTCATCCTTTTTTTCCTTACAGGAACATCTTGAACCTACCAAAATCAGTCTCCTTAATGGACCTAATTCAGCCACTGATTTGAAGTTTGTAGGTGGTATTTAAAAATAGCATGTTGACAGAATTCTTCCATTTTTGACATGTATCTTGCTCCAAACAGCATCTCCTCCCTAACTTTCAGACTGTGTGAAATCTGTATTTCACTCAATTCTTTGCATATATGTTATAGTTTATCTGTCATGTGCACTCAACAATATGCAGATACATGTAAGGTGCCATTCTGTGAATGAAAGGACACACACCATACATAGTCTTGTATTACATGGTGAAAAGATAATTAGGTTGTCACTGTTTAATAGTCACAAGTCAAAACTAATATGTAAATAAAACAGTAATTTTCAGTGAACCCCCAACTTATTAGATTTTGACACAACAAACTTCGTATCCACTAGATCAAATTTCTCCAGTTATTTATGTCATTTGTGTAATCTTATCATTAATAAAATGATACAAATGAAGTAAATTGCTGCGTGGCTGTGCATGAACAGCTCCTCTCCCAATTAGTCCAATTAAAGAGAGATTTCACTTTCCTGAAAGGTTAAAAATCATTTAAAACATTTAAGTCATAGAAAACTAATAGCACTAAAATAACTCAAGCATATAAAACAGTATTATTGTATAAAATAATGTCTTACTTCTTTGGTTTCTTCAAGTTCAGATATGCTGGTAAGTTCCTCCGTGTTGAAATGTTCAAAATCAGACTCTCCCACTGCTATTGGTACAGTCACAGTAAGATTTGGGTTGTTTATGAATGACATGTGATCACTGTTGACCATGCAGGTGGTGATCATTTTAGGCCTCTGATAACCAAAAGTTTGGTTGATCTCCACTGTGGTGTGGTTGGGAATGCACTGATCTTTCTTATTGTTTTGTTGATCAGCTGCACTTAATCCAGGAGTGCCCTTGCATCTTTGCAAAAAAACACTTTGCACAAATTCACATATCTTCCTCTTTATGTAATTTATTCCCCTCTGAATTCTTGATATAGCAATCTGTAGATTATTTGCTTCGGTTTCCTGCTCTGGAGCAGCAAGGCTGTCTGAACTGAAAGAACTCAATAATAATGCCAGGAAGAGGTTTAGAAGCTGGAGGATGAAGTAGGGAAATAAATTAGATTAGATTTTTCCCCTCTCTAGTTAATCATTTTGACTTCTTGCTTTTGACTTTCTACCAATTGCATGCATTCACTTTTCAGTTTCTGATCATAGTAAAAACAACAACAACCCAATTATTGATCCTAGGTTTTCAACTTTGGCAGACATAAAATCAAATTTGTTTGCATGATTCGGGGGGAGGTGGGGGAGAAGGGAAGGAGGGGAGTCTTTAACCAGAATACAAGATCAATCCCATTAAAAAAACACATTTGTATAACAGGATGTAATTTGGCTTGTTGGTAACACCACATCAGTGCTGTTTTTGAAGATAGAATGGGATGGTATAGTGGTTGGAAAATAACAAATTAACTTGTAGAAAAAAAACAAGGAGAATCTGAGTGATGAAAAGGACTGAAGCAACAGAAACATATAACTAAAATACAGGGCTGCTAGGATCCAAGCTAGATAGGTTGGGAGTCTCTCTTTCCACAGGTAACTTTTTGAACCAATGTAATTTCTAAAATATTTACACTTTCTTCTCTATGATCACAAGTTTTCCTTCCTGTTGAAATTAACCACATTAACTAATTTTATGTCTATGCCACATTATGTCTGTACTGCAAACGGTGGATGGTTAAACATAGTAAAGTTGTAATATTTTACTGTTTTCACCGGGCAAGTAATAGAATATTCTTGCTTAGTTTATGAAGCCCGTAAAGGTGTCATTCAGTTACTTGAAACAAAAAGAAGATTGCTCATCATATTTTTGCAATTACCATAGAGGAAATGGAAGGTACAATACTTGAATCTGAGTTCCATTTTAAATTGCTGTTATCAAATTTTAGTAAGAATTTGTTTCTGGAATTCTGCACTTTGATATAGCCCAAGGGCTAATCAATAAAGATCAAATTGAATTTAGTTGCTTAGAGTTTTAAGTTTAGTATTATGCCAGAATTGACATTGTACCCATTGTACCCTATCTAAAGTTGCAGAAGTTACAACAGCACTGAAAAAAGTGTCTTATGATGATTTTTCACACTTACCACCATTGCAGCATCTCCTCAATGACATGATTTACATTCAGATGCTTGACAACTGATTCACATTTATGACCACTGCAGTGTCCTGGGATCACATGATCCCCTTTTGCGACCTTTTGACAAGTAAAGTCAATGGGGCAACCAGATTCACTTAACAACCGTGTTACTAATTTAATAACTGCAGTGATTCACTTAACAACTGTGGCAAGAAAAGTCATAAAATGGGGCAAAACTCACTTAAAAAATTTCTCACTCAGCAACATAAATTTTGGGTTCAATTGTGTTCTATGTTGAGGACTACCTGTATAGGGATATTTGCAATTCCTTATAACTTTCTGAATATACAAAATATACTTGAAAAAAGTATTCTTAGTAGCTCTCATGGACTCTAAATTTTGGTAGGAATGTGCAACAGCAGTTTTCTCAACAAAACTAATTAACTGACCTCATCAACAATAAGAGTTGTATCGTATCAGACAACACAGTAGAAACAATCCCATAACAGCTATATACAACAGTGTCTACAAATAGTTACCACTAATCCCAAAGGTGCTTTTCAAAAGGCAACTGGACTTCCTTTGTTTTTTCCTTGAAGACTGTTTTTTCCAGTTCTGAAGAAGCTTCATGGATAAGAAGCAAAACGTCTTCAAGGAAAAAAACAAAGAAAGTCCATTTGCCTTTTGAAAAGCACCTTTGGGACAACCACGACCTGAATAACTAAGCATCTCCATAGTTACTTACCACCAGGTTTCCAATCACCATCACCATCATAAAAACTGTCAGGCAAAGGGCTTGACCTGCAACCTCCATACAGTCCCACATGGTTTCTATCCATTCTCCACAAAGAACTCGGAACACGATCAAGAATGAGTGGAAAAAGTCATTCATGTGCCAGCGTGGAAGTGTACAGTCTTCTGAAATTTTGCATTTACAACTGTCATAGCTTTTACCAAACAGCTGCATACCAACCACAGCAAATATGAAGACAATGATAGCTAGCACCAAGGTCAAGTTTCCTAAAGCTCCAACTGAGTTCCCAATGATTTTTATTAGCATGTTTAGCGTTGGCCAAGACTTTGCCAGTTTGAACACTCGAAGCTGAAAACAGTAATGAAGAATTCATATGTAAGAGAAATTTATATAATTTATAAAAATGAGGCAGAGGTGATATTCAGCAGGTTCTGACTAGTTCTGGAGAACCGGTAGTGGAAATTTTGAGTAGTTCGGAAAACTGGCAAATAACCCCTCTGACTGGAGATTTTACAGTATCCTTCCCCTGCCACGCCCACCAAGCCCACAGAACCGGTAGTAAAATTTTTTGAATCCCACCACTGAAATGAGGTACAGACTGCCTAAAATGCAGAAAACCACCAGGCCACACTATTAGCTGTAAACGTGTAGCCTGTGAATTGTTTTAATTCCTCTGGTATCCATTTATTACACCGCAAACCCTCTCAGATTGCAAAACTGTTGATTGTCAGCAGTGGGTTTTTGTTGTTGTTCTTGTTAATTGTCTCTCAGAATACTTTAAAATTCTCCAATTCTGGAGAGAACAGAACTTCCCAGTTACCCAAACTTGTCTTTCTTTCATTAGTTTCTAGTAGCTACTTCAGAAAGTTGCCATTGCTTCCATTAGCTGCTGCTGGCAACAGAACACGAAATCTGAAGCAGGAAGGGTTCCTTCCATGTCCCTGCTCCTCTTGCCTGGCTTCTGCCATTACTTCTGTGCTTCTCCCTAGCAATAGAAACTATTGTCCTGTCATGTGAATGTTACGATTTTTTGCAGCTTTGTTTTGGAGGTATCTTATGAATGCTATGAACTGCTGTTTTCTTTTCTTCTCAAGGATGAGAAGACAACACATAGCTCTCTCTCTCTCTCTCTCTCTCTCTCTCTCTCTCTCTCTCTCTCCCTCCCCACCTCTCTGCAGGGAAAAGCCATAAACTTGACAGCCTTATATCTGAAGGGGTTTGCTGCTAATCATTCTGAACGCTTGTGAAATCCAGGCTGTAATCAATTGATTACAGAATGGCCTAGAAATTTCTTCAGGGAACTTGACTTCTTTCTAGGGAGTACAAAGCTTCTCATTCTGCTTCCTTTTAATCTGCCCTTCCTATACCAAACACCTGCCTACCACAGAGGTTACTTACCGTATGTTCTCTATTGTTAGATCCTATGTAGCTAGATCCTAGTAACGTTGGAAATAGAATAGTGATCTATATGTTACATATTCCACACAGGTTTTCTATTCTAGTAAGAATGGCTAAACCGCTTCCTTCGGAGAAAACTGTAGATCCCTCCAGTATTTTCAACTTATTCCAGATGAAGGGGATTTTTTTTTTAGGGGGGAGGGGTTGCTTCATCCAAAATGCACATCCCAAACAGGGAGTTTTCATTCTCCCCTAATCACATGGGTGTCAAACTAAGATCACGTCACGTGATGTATCATGATGTATTGCGACATTTTTTTTACCTTTGCGGAGCTGCGGAGCTTCCGGCCCGCCAGCCACCAGTTTGACAGGCCTGGCTAACCAGAACCTGGCAAACTATATAATGACAATGCATCAAATCAGCCTGTTTCCCTCTAAGAAAATAATTATATATATGGATATTCCATCCAAGTGTTTACAAAACCTCTAATGAAGATCTTGGTAGATTCGAAAACCTTAGTCTGGCTTTTCTAATATAAAACTTCTGCTCTATTATAACAATCTTCAGCTAGGATAAGCGGAATCTGTCAATTCCAGAGATATTATGTGTTTTCCTGCTTAAGTGAGCTAATCTGCAGATATCTGCACAACCTGCTAGATTCACCAAGTCCACAATCCACATGGAAGAAATTTTATCCTAAGTAAAATTGCAGCTCTGCTGGGGGCAGGGGGGGAGGAAATCGCCCTACAGGTCAGATATTTACCAGTCTGAAAGATCTTAAGACTGACAATCCGTCCACCTCTTGAAGACCCAGCTCCATTAAACTCAGGGTTACAATGATGCTATCAAAAATATTCCAGCCTTCTTGGAAATAATAATAAGGATGCATGGCGAATATTTTGAGGACCATCTCTGCAGTGAAGATGCCAGTGAAAACCTAAATGTAGAATGCAATCAGTTAATCATTCCCATGAAAAACGTCATGTATTATTTTGTTGTTTGTAGGCCTAAAGCTCAAGAAACAATACTTGAAATACAATGACAAAAATAAATGTTTACATCTCATTTGTGCTCTAGCTCCGAGGAAATACATGAGTTGACATAATTTTTAAAGAGCTGAAGTACAGGAGAACGTACACCATAGGACAGGGCATGAATCATGGAAGGATTTGTTGAAAACAATATTATTTAACAGCTTTCAGTCACACACAAATAGCTTTCTAGATATGTGGGACTCCAGCTTCCAGAATTTTCAGTCAGAACAGTACTCCCTCTGTAGTCCTAAGGTTGTAACTACAATTCTGAAAAGAAGGAACACGGCCATGGGAGACTCACATTTTCCATAAAATAGACTTCAGATTTAATCTCAGAAAGGATGTTAATATTACGGTGGAAAAAATAATATTATGTGCTATGTTGATGATTCCTGCTAAAGAGGGACTGATGTTTGACTCGGATTTATATTTTCCAAAAGTTTAGAGACATCTATTTTTTGAAAGCTTCCTTAGAATTTAGCAGCTTTATGAATTATAAAATTCGTTTATATAAATTTGACTTACCACATTTCCACTTTTAAGAACACTGCTGAAGGAGTCATCAATTGGATAATGTTCCATGCTCATGAACAATGTATTTAAAATAATGCAGATAGTAATTCCAAGTTCAACAAATGGATCCATCACAATTAAATAAATAATTTTCTTTATTTGTAACCACCTATCAGAACAATTCCAAATCAAGTAACTGTGGGCAAACTTATACCAGCATGGTGGACATTTTTGTCTTGATTCTTCAAGCTCTGAAGGAATTGAAAACATAAAAAACTCCATCTTATACTGATTTCATGATTTACATTCATCAGAAAACAACAACTTCATTAAAATGTGATTTGCAGGTTCATTTCTATGAATTTTCTGTCATAGCACATTTCAAATAATGCCACTTAAAAGAGCAAACCTATTTCACAGATATTGTGACAACTGGTAAGACAGAAAATGAAGTGCTGGATATTTTATTTATTTATCTCTATCACACAGAAAAGTCACTGTAGGAAGTGCACAATAAAAAGAGTACTGTACAATCAAAATATTAAAACAATTACAATTAAAAATACATCAGGCAATATTATTATTTATTAAACAGAGGGAAAAAATGATGCAGCCATCTTTTTAGACCACCATTTCCTTGAGATCCTTAAGCAGCCATGTTTTGAGGGACCTCCAGAAGGACATCAAGGAAGGGGCCAATCTCACCTCAGAGGTGAGGGGGTGGGGACGGCGTTCCACAGAACAGGCATCAGAGCAGAAAAGGCCATCTCCTGGGTCACATCAAATAAAACTCTTTCACAGATGGCAGATGTAACTGGGTGGAGATGGTCCTTCAAATAACCTGGCCCCATGCCACGAAGGGCTTCAAAATCAACATCTTGAATTGTTTCAGAGCAAAGATGTGAGATGTGCCATTCTAGGAGCACACATATTTCTAGGGGCACACACACACACACACAACCCACCATATTTTGCATCAGCTGAAATGTCCAGATACTCTTCAATGGCAGCCCCATGTAGAACTGACCCAAGAGGTGACCAGGGCATGATTCTGTGTCAGTCACTTGCCTCTTTCAACAGAAACAGGCACATCCAGACCTGGTATTCAGCAGGTTCTGACCAGTTCTGGAGAACCGACAGCAGAAATTTTGAGTCGTTCGGAGAACCGGCAAATACCACCTGTGACTGGCCCTGCCCCCATCTATTCTCTGCCTCCCAAGCCCCAGCTGATCGGCTGGGTCTTCTTTTGTTGCCCTGCACAGGAGAATGGAGCTGGAAAGCAGGTTAGTGGGGTGGGGAGGGAATGGGGATTTTGCAATAATCTTTCTCTGCCCACCAAGCCACTCCCAGAGAACCGGTAGTAAAAATATTTGAATCCCACCACTGGGCACATCCCAAAACTATATCAAAAAATATCCTGCATCATCTTGAGCATGATGACTGGAAAAAATATGGAACCATCCTGTCCCAAATGGAGACTCCCTCCCAAATGGAGACTCTATGACCTGCACCCATTGCTCAGCTGCAGTTATATCAAAGGACAACGGGGTAGGGCTCTCGGAGATATATGCAGACCTGTGCATTGATCTAATTGTAACTTCCATTCAAACAAAGAGGTGAGTAGAATTTGTTCCACCCTCTGTATCTTCCTTACTATAACAAGACACCTTAATTAAAATTATGTGTTAATTAAGGCTTTGTCAGGGTTTATTCTAGTACTTGAAAAATATCCTCTACTAAAAACACATCCAGTATACTATTTTTTTTAAATTGGCAGACTATCAGTATATTTGAGAGGACTTCACTCTCAATCTATCCCTCTTCTTCATTTTAGTTCTAATTTAAGTCTTGCCTTTAGGAGATGACCACATTGAGCTGGAGGGAGGGGTCAAACGCATCATCAGCCATCAGTCCCTGCGTCCCACAAGAGATTTAAGTCCAGTCCACATTGAATGCCTTTCTTAACTCCCATTAATTTCCCTTGACCATTAATAGCTCAGATTCTTGTAGAGAGCTTAAGCTTGTAATAAATCTTTATACTCATTTGAACGGCCTGAATCTCTTGATTTCCCCAGTGCTTGACATTATCAATTTTAACTACTTATCATTTTGTAAGCTGCCCAGAATCACTTTATTTGTGGGCAGTATATTATAAACAAACTAAGTTAATATTATAAACTATACTATAAAGAAAAAAAGGGTACCTTGAGAAACATGAGACAGTTCGACTGACTCTCCTAAAACACACTGAGGGATGCCTAAGAGGGATTTTAGGCCCACACCAGTGAATTGTTCAACACATTAGATTAAGGGTCTTCAAACTTGGCAAGTTTAGGACTTGTGGACTTCAACCCCCAGAATTGCTGAGCTAACATGACTGGAAGATGAATTCTGGGAATTGAAGTCCACAAGTCTTAAAGCTGTCAAGCATGAAGACCTCTGCATTAGATCATGAACGGTCCAAATCAGCAATTTTCCTGTGATTATGCATGCATGCATGAATGAATGAAGCAATGAATCTTTACCATCTACCAGTGCTACCATCATTCAATTTTCTTTTCTTAATTGCTTTCACCTAAATCTGTAGCACCAGCCAAGAACATCTAAAGCCAGATACACCTTTTCCAATGTTGACACACTGGCAGACACACAAAGAAAATGGAGAGTGTTTAAAGTTTTACAGGTGTTATGCACATCCTGAATTACATTTTATCTGTTGATTCCACATCTCTGCAAAGCCTAATAAAATACAGGGTTTTTTTTTTACTTTATTAGAGCCTAATTAGATTTGTAAAGCTTTCCATATACATAACAGAAAACTAAACCAAAACTTCATAGCAGATTTAGTATGTTAGGCACACAACTGTACACAGAGACCCACCTTCCATTGTGTTTGTGATAATGCTTGCTATGCTCATTGCTCTTTGCCTTATGGTGGGGTCTTCCAGCAAATCCATCGATATCTGAAAAGAACTGGACCGCCTTTTTTTGCCTTCCATCTCAGAAGCAGTACTCTACAGTGAAGTAAGGAGACTAAATTATCAATATGATTATGGTGATCTACATTAGAAATATTACACAGCATAAATAACTTCAAGAAGTTCATGCCACTGCACATGCACCCAAATCTCTGTATTTCTTAAGCTTAAACATATGTCAACCGTAGAATGTATTTTATGCTTGTTACATGTAACCAACTAACCTTGCTCCTCTATGACAGGCCACTTTTAGCTTCGAAATGTCCCATGACCAGGCTTGTACCTCAGGAGCCCTTGAGGGCTCTCATGCAAATCTTGTATGTTATTTTGAATATACCTCTTCTATAATAATTGAAACTACATTTCAAGTTCCCCAAAGATGCGCTTAGACAGGATTAAAGATTAGGTTCTTGACCTAGATTTTAGCAGGGATCAATCTATAGCAGGGGTGTCAAACTCTCATTTTCACGGCAGCATCATGTGGTGTATCGGGACTCCCCCCCTTTGCTAAACCAGGCGTGGGCATGGCCAGTGCGTGATGCATCCAGCTATGGGCCACGAGTTTGACAGCCCTGACCTATAGCCTCGTGCAACACATTTGTTTATATTTAGTTTTGCAGATCCTATTTGGTTCAAGTAGAATCTGTTGGCATAGTTTTCTGTTATTTTGAAATGGAGTATATACAAAAACTATAATGTAAGGTTTCTAGAAATACATGGAGTGTTGGTGGCACATATTAAGAAAAGAAAGTGAAAAAAGTTAAAATACTGCTCAATAAGGGAAAAACTCCAGAAAAGGGTGGCCTCACTCAATACTACGTCATTGCTATGCCATTGCCTTAGTCCCATTGTCTTCTATGTACTGGTGAATATGAGTCTTATTTTCTGCAGAACTGCAACACAATTGAAATGATCGTGAATATTCGATTACATCTTATTGCTAAGACGCAAAGATGATATATGTAGATCAAAGCATGAAAATTCATACTAGAGGTTAGAAGAATTAGTTTTATGTATAGATAACCTGACACCTTTCACATGGGAATCCAGAAAGAAAAATTAGGTCATGCAACAAAAGTCATTTACAGCGTTATGTTTTTTGAGCCAGTGCTCCTCCAGGCCTTCAATCCATTCTGGACAATTGCTTAAAAAATCAATAACAAATTTATCCCAAGTGCATCTTGTTACATGCTGTTTTACCACTAAATCTGCCTCACAATTAAAAACATGACTTAACTGAGCTTCAGTCAACCATAAACCAGGGAAGATACTCTGGGATATGATACTCTATGGAGCTGCAAACACAACATGTAGTTAATGTGATCTAATCACGTTTATAATGTGATTAGATCATACTTATTGCATCCCTTTTTAAAACTGGGAAATGAGTAATTATACAGTTGGAGGACCATACTGTGAAGTAAATGAGGGGCAAACACTGATTTTAATCTCAACACAAACTCTTGAATTCAAAATGATTCTTTCACCGAGAACAAAATGAAGGTTCTCCTGATCCTGGCATGGAGGGCAGGATAATAAGCCAGGTAGATTTCACCCTCCATTCTGCCCACAATGGTCTCCACCCAATCACATTACCTGAGTTTAAATTTGTGTAGCTCCACACAAGTTTATGTCTATATATGTACAGATGCACACACATACAAAAACAACAACAAAAAAACCCATGAGCATTTCAATATACAGGCTCGGTGTAGGAAGTAAGATTTACTGCCTTTGTGCCATTTTTTACAAAGCTGGTTTCTAGGAGACCTGTTGCCCCAGGAATTGGCCTTAGTAGGCTAAGTGCCACAGAGCGTGGAAGGATGCTGTCTATGGTCATGGAAGTGCCTTTTTGTTAAGGAAAGGCAATGAGACAGATACCAGTGGGAGAATTAAAAAGAGACAGGAGCAACTGTGGCAATGGAAGAGAGTTAAGTAGGAGTGCACAATTTTGGGGGATTGAGTAGCATTAGCACTAGCACTTAGACTTACATATCACCTCATAGTTCTTTACAGCTCTCTCTAAGAGGTTTACAGGATCAGCATATTGCCCCCCAACAATCTGGATCCTCATTTTGCTGACCTCGAAAGGACGGAAGGCTGAGTCAACCTTGAGCTGAGTCAACCTTGAGCCTGTCAGGATCGAACTCCAGACTGTGGGCAAAGCTCACCCGCAATATTGCAATCTAACCACTGCGTCACCACGGCTCCTACCACATTGTGTGGCCAGGGTTGCATTCCCAAAAAGCAGGAGACCCAGATAAAGGGGTAAGATCAAGAAAAGTTTACTCCCAATGAATAAAGTTAGTGGAATTTCACCCTTTTTGTACGTTAAAAATCACATTAAACAGCTGGTTTTTTTTTTTTTTTTGAGCAGCTCTAAGGTCCATGCGGGCACTTCTAGAAACAAGGTACATAATGGATCTTTTAGGCAAGGAAGAGCAGGAGCAAATCAAAGATAAAGGAGCAAAGAAGACGAAGGTATTTGCTAAGCATAAATTAAAGGTAAACGTGGCAATAAACACTTTTGTATTTAATTTAACTTTAATCTCGTTTTCCTTTAAATCGCATTGTGTGTGCATGGTGTTTGCAAATACATGCAGCAGAAGTCAGACCATTTATTTTTGTGTGGCTCAGGGTTAAAGCCCGGAAAGGAGCAATATCGAAAGCATATCCAAGATGCAGAGGCATTCAGGAGTTGGATTCCATACTGGAGACCCATCATGCCTACGCTACTTAAAATCTTCCTTACACTGTCATCGGTAGTTGCTTTATCTATTATCACCTCTGGGAGAAGCTGTCCTGTAGGCGACAGGAGCGCAGGGGGTCTTCCTACCAAGGAAACCACCCCATTGCAGTCCACGCTGCTCTGCATCTTCCCATTCATTGGAAACATGGTCTGACTAACGTTGCTGCTGCGGCGGTCGCTATGCCTGCGTACAACAAAGTAGGAACCATTCCGGCTTCCGTTTTCTTCAAAGGTGCTGTGCTCACTATCGGCATCGGAACTCCCTTCGGCGGTTGGGCCTTTGAAACTGGAGAAGCTGGCCCTGCTATTGCGCCTTGTGGGAAACAGCATTGACTAAGGAGACAGAAATTGAATCACCAAGTGAAAACCTGTAAATTGCATACACATCTCAGTTGGATAATGCTGGGCAATAACTTTTGAGAGGAAAAGTACAGTTGATTTTAGGAAGTATGATATGATCAAACTTCTAAATTGATTTTGTGGGGATCAGATATGCTTCCTAGGGGATAAAGGAAGGCGAGTTTGACTCAAAAATGGGGAAGTAGAACCACAAGCCATTATAAAAGTCCTGGCAAAGAAGAAAACATAAGAAATAACAATAGCACTGAGACTTATATACCACTTCACAGTGCTTTACAACCCTCCCTAAGTGGTTTACAGAGTCTGCCCCCAACAATCTGAGTCCTCATTTTACCCACCTTGGAAGGATGGAAGGCTGAGTCAACCTTGAGCCTGGTGAGATTCAAACTGCCAAATTGCAGTCAGCCAGCAGTCAGCAAAAGTAGCCTGCAGTACCTCACTCTAACCACTGCGGCTCTTAGAAACTCTAACATTCAAATACTGTTTCCTACCACCTCCTCTTGCCTCCAAGGATACTGTCTATAATATCAACTTATCCTTTATTTGGGAAGGTAATCATACAAATTGAGAACAACCACTATTTTCATTTTCTAGAAATGCCTATATGGCTGTGTGAGGCTTATGGGCTTTTTTAGGAACGTGGTTAATAATGCTTTGAAATATGATAGCTGTTCTATTTTTTAAAATTAAAAGAATGTTTAAGAAGTAATCAAAATCAACATGGGCCAATAGTTCAACACATATGACAAGTAATGTCCTTGGGCACTATTCTTCCCCACAGCCCCAAATTTCAATAACAGCTAAAAGGTCCTTCCAAACACATCAAATTTACTGCATCAAAGGCCTATCAATAAAGCTCTACACATATTGCTAAAGGAAAATTCAACTATAATTAGTGGTTCCATGGAGATGATAATCTCTAATTGGTAGAATCCTTGTGCTACCAAGTTCTTATTAATAAGTCATGAAAATGTCCACACAGTACATTTAAATAGGTTATATTTTGCTATCAGATACATAGCACCGTTCTGTCTTTCCAATATAGCAACAAAGATCCTACTGCATGGGTCCCCAATCCCCGAGCTGGTCCATGGCCTTTAAGGAACCAGGCCAAGCAAATGAAGCGTCATCTAGGTAGCATGTGGAACCACACTACCAGCACTGCTCCAGTCCATGGAAAAATAGTCTTCTACGAAACTGGTCCCTGGTGACAGAAAGGGTGCGGACCACTGCTCTACTGCCTTCGTTAGAAAAAACTTATTCCTCTTTCCCCAAATGTCATACTATTACCTCTACCTCTTTTCTAACTGTTCGGCTTTCTAATAACAAAAAGATACTATTGTTTTTAACTTTCTCAAGTTACTGCAAGTAATGACAAGAACCTGGAGGACACAATCTGTCACTCAGGCCCTCATCCGCAACTATTTGGATAGATATACCCACAAGATATCTGACCTGGTATGGAGAAATGACCCTGTTTTCATACGTGAGTCTATTCCCTTCCAAGGAAAACCGAAATCCTTTCCTTCGGATGCTACTATCCGATTCTGATTTTGGAAACATTTTGCTGTTCCCTCCAGGCTCGCCGACAGACAATTCTCTTTCCCGTCTTTTTTTCCTTCGGTTTCTTCTTTCTTTAGCACTTTTGGAGCTGGATAATTCTGAAGATGTTTCGGAAAGTCTTCCAAGAGCACTGTCATCCCTGAAATCTTTACAAGCCGTCGCTGCCACCAGTGCCTATCGTATGAAGGGATCAACTATGTAAGTGCTCTTCACACAATTTAATTATTTAGCATGGTGCTTATTACTCCAAAAGAACACAGCTTGAAGTATACAAGTGGGCAAAAAACAACATCAGGCATGTATCAAAATATTAAGCAAATGAATATACACCAAAACAGGGGCTCTTAGTCTTTTTGTTTCATGGATCCCTTGACACCTATGGATACCTTCTTAGATAAATGCCTTTAAATGTATAAAGTCAAGTATATCAATAGATACTGCATTACAAAAGAAACCATTATGCTCAACTACAGGCATCAAAATATTTTAAAAACAGCAATATGGAATACAATATATGTGCATCATTATTAAGCCATTTAATCAACGCAAGCTAAGTTTCAGTTAAAATAAAATTACAATTTTTCCCTAGTGAAGTTCATGAACCCCTTGAAATTTATCAGTGTGTTAAGAATGCCTGATATGCAGGTAATCCTCGACTTACAACAGTTCATTTAGTGACCAAAGTTACAAGGGCACTAAAAAGAATGAGTTAGGACCATTTTTCACACTTGCAACCATTGCAGGTGTCACTGATCAAAATCCAGACACTTGGCAACTGATCTATATTTATAACAATTGCAGTATCCCAGGGTCATGTAATCCCCTTTTGCAACCAGTCAATAGGGAAGCCAGATTCACTTAACAACTGTGTTACTAACTTAACACCTGCAGTGATCCACTTAACAACTAAGGCAAGAAAAGACATAAAACAGAGCACATCTCACTTAACAAATGTCTCACTTAGCAACAGAGATTTTGGGCTGTGTGGTCGTAAGTTGAGGACTGCCTGTAAATATTTAGCTGATATGTAATAATGAGAATTAGAATCTAGCCTGTGTGATGTATGCTAACTCTGTGTGTATCATTAAATAAGCCAGGGCTCTGTATTTCATATTTCTGTACGTAATATTGTAATAGTATTCTCTCCATCAACATGAGCACCCATCTGGTTCTAAAACTCTGGGAACTCAATCCCATCCTTATGAGGGGCAACAGTATTAAGTAATGCCCTTAATTTCCTGTCATCTTTGTTGGTGTTGCATCTGTACTACAACTGTTATTTGAAAGATGTCATATGATTCATATCAGAGGTGATATTCAGCAGGTTTTGACCAGTTCTGGAGAACCGGTAGCGGAAATTTTGAGTAATTTGGACAACCAGCAAATACCATCTCTGACTGGCCCTGCCCCCATCTATTCTCTGCCTCCCGAGTCTCAGCTGATTGGCTGGGTCTTCTTTTGTTGCCCTGCACAGGAGAATGGAGCTGGAAAGCAGGTTAGTGGGGTGTGGAGGGAATGGGATTTTGCAGTAACCTTCCCCCAGGAGTGGGGAGGGAATGAGGATTTTACAGTATCCTTCCCCTGCCATGGCCACCAAGCCATGCCTACCAAGTCACGCCACACCCACCAAGCCACGTCCACAGAACCTGTAGTAAAATATTTTGAATCCCACCACTGATTCATTTGCTTTCTATATGGTTGATAAAGGCAAGTCATAATGAATCCAGATAGAACTCTATTTTTTATAAAACATACCACATCAGGCACTG